GGTTAAGGTAGTGTCGTAGTACTTCAGACCGATCTTGGTCTCGCCTTGGACTCATCCACATCTGGACTCGGTTTTGTCTTGGACTTGAAGGCGCTTGGACTCCTTCTTGTCTTGGACTTGAAGGTGCTTGGACTCGGTCTTGTCTCGGACTTGAAGGCGCTTGGACTCGGTCTTGTCTCAGACTGGAAGGCGCTTGGACTCGGTCTTGTCTCGGTCTTGAAGGCGCTTGGACTCGGTCTTGTCTCGGTCTTGAAGGCGCTTGGACTCGGTCTTGTCTCGGTCTTGAAGACGCTTGGACTCGGTCTTATCTGGAGGTCTGACAAGAAAATAAAAAATAAAATGGATATAGATTTATTAAAACATTGATATATATATATGTGCCCAAATAACTGTAAAATACAAATGAATGCCAAAAATTACAAAGATGGTTTCGATTTGGTCTCGACAGGTCATGGTCTTAGTCTTGTCTTGGTCTTAGAAGTTTCATTCCCATCTTGGTCATGATTTTGAACAAGAAATTAAAAATTTAAACCTAAAAAATGGGCAAATTGGGAAAGCAAGTGTGAATGTTTTGCACAAATCTTAAAAATAAAGACCTTAACTGTGTTTTAGAAAAATAATTAGTAAAGTAAGACATTGGCAACCCAGGTTCAGTTGTGATTTTAGTAGCTTTTTAAAATGCTAAGAGTAACGTACAGTTTTAAAATCATGACAACATCTTTTAGCTCCCCAACAGCTCATTTGCAATACTTCCCGGCTTGCGATCAATACATTTGCTTAATAATAAATACAGACTGTGTATATTTGCCTAATTTCTTTTATAATTTGAGCTTCTTTCTCAATACTCTCCATGGAAGCCAAACTCATTTTACACCACTGCCACAAATGAAAAAAATGGGTACAGCCCCTTTAAGCGACTGCCATTATTTATGCTTATTTCTACTCCAGTTCATTTCTTGTTTATCCTCGACAGATTGAACAACACGCGCCGTATTTGCCAAGCTAATATCTCTCCTCTCTTCCCCCAGATAGCGATAAGATGGAGCGGTGTCCAGCTTCGTGAATGGCGTTTCCAGGGAGCCCACGGTTATTATCTCCACCGGGGAACAGTCAGTGCGCACAGGTGAGGAAATGAAACGCGGCTGTGACAAAAAAAAGAAAAGAAACGCTCTCTATCTTTTCTAATAACTTCCTGATTTATTCTGCTAGGGCTGCGGCGAATAAAAAAAAAAACGGTAGCGCAGATAGAAAATTGGTAGCATTGTGCGAAAGATATGAGTCGCGTTTGGGGAAGCGAAATTTCGTTTTTGAGTCAATTTGCGTGACAAGGTTTGACGGTAATGCTACAATATGTGACCTAGTGCGTATTGGGCTAACAAAGATGAACTGAAGTGTTAGTCATTGGATGTGGGCGACTGGGTTTTGCTGACACTTGGAGGTTTATAGGTCAAAGCAGTTCTTAAGAGATGGACTGCCTACACGCTGAGTCACCGTGTGGAAATATATACAGTAGACAGGGTACTGTATGGAGTAATGAAAGGGGATGGTTTAATTGCGTGGGTTGGACAGTTTCTTAGAACAAGAAGAAGAACTACAAAAGCAAAACATGGACTATCAAAAATGCCTTAAATTAAAGAGGGGGTATTTTATGTACTTCTGTGGGGTTTTAACATAACATATTTAGATCACCATGTTACCTTTTATTGTGTAGAAAATGCTACATGTGCAGAAAATCATGTATTATTAAAATGTTTTATAAGTTTCGTTTTCGATACTGTGATCACTTTGCCCTTCGAGCTAAGTCACTCCCTCTTCAGAGCGCTATCACAACACAATCAGCGTGTGTTCAGCTAACGAAACTACGGCACATCGCATCAGGTTTGTGAAGTTGTTGTGTACAGTTTTGTATCATGTTTTTGTATATTTATTGAGAATTGTTGTGTGGGAGCATGGGTGACGTAAGCTTGAAGGTGGAGCATTGAACAGAATCTTACAGCTAACTAAGGAGGATTTGAAAACTGCTTAAACGAGATTGCAAAATTAACGCTAATAAACATGCATGGATGACATCTATAACCTCTTCAGGCATGTTTTTGAAGATGGGACATTATATCATAGTAGAAATTAAAAAAAAATCTCAAAGCAACGCCGTGTAACTTTTTGGAGGTGGCATGACACCTGCATGGCAAAAGGAGAAATTCAATTTGTCAGCTGGACAAAAGTTTAGAACTGAACAGTTCTTCAGAACTGAAGAAGCAGATGAGCTGGATGAGCTGCGAAACACATTCGACCAAATAAACTTTTGTCTGGTTGACAAATTGAATTTCTCCTTTTGTCATGGATTCTACTTGGACGACAGAGGGATTTTACACACGTCACCTGCATGATTCCATAGAAAGTGAAAGTTAAAACTACATTCTGGAACATTGTCTATGGAGATAGAACTTTATGCCATATGCCCTAACAGTGCATTCAACAGTCATTAAGTAAGTAACAGGGGAATATTATAACCTTCCAGGCCAGGTAAGAGTCAGGTTTATCAAGATACAAGTCCACACATATACACCCAAACAACAACAACATTTATATTGTCAATTGACAAATAGTCCCAATTGTTTATGGGACTAATGATGACAGATTTGCTCATTTGCACTCCATGGACTACAAAGCATTCAAAAGCAGAAAAGCATGCACTGTGTAACACTCCAGGTGGAGGTTCTGTCACTTTGCTTTACCTTTCATATTACACAGTCACATCTTCCCCCAATCTACCCTCTGACCACACAAACAGCATCCTCACTTACACAAGGTTGGCTAAGTGTATTGCCCAAGGACACAACAACAGCATTTGCTTCTTTGCGCTTAGACCAAATCACTAAACATTGGGTTGATGGGTAAACTCTCTAGCCACCGAATGACTGGCACCTCATTCTACGCCAACGACCTTTCCAGCCATCAGAAATCACTTTCTCACGCCTTGCCCGAAGACACAAAAACAGCTTACAGACCTCTCTACCCTACCACACAACCGACTGTCACCCCAATAATGTCTTTCTCTCCATTCTCGTACTGATTTCTTTCTCTTTTCCGGCCTGTGTCCGTTCCGACTCCCTCTCCGCTGTATCTCCCGGTTCTTAATTACTCCCTGATTCACTCACAACCTCCACTACCCCCCACCACCCCCCACCCCATCTCCTCCGCTCCGCTCGTCCGCCCCTCTCCACCCGTTTCAGAAGTGACGCGATAACCGGCAACCCAAATGACTTCCAATGATGAGACCATCTTAGCTCCGACAGACCAATCCCTCACCAACCATATCCCGTTTCCAATTCACCAAAACACACAGAGAGATAGAAGAATGAATTAAATCTGGGGTTTTTTCTTGTTTTTTTTTCCCCAATCGCGGGGTGGTACCGAGTCCAATCAGTGCTTCCCAGCTGGAGAGGGCGGCCATGATGGAAGACGAGCATTAGCTGGAGGTACTCAACACTTCTTGGCAAGGAAACAATTAAAGAGACGTTGTATTTTCCGCGGTTCGAAAGGGGGATTTTTGGGGTATCCAGGTGTCTAGACTGGAGTATTCTGTCCACCAGTGATATGGTTGTATGCTGTTAGCTTCTTAAGTCCGAATTGGCAGGCGCGCGCTACAGCACTTGTCCGTAATTTTGCGCCGAAAGAGGTTTCACAATCCGTTTTTGGCAGTGGCTATGTTGTGATTGTTGGTGTTTGAGAAATTTGTAAATGAATCTGGCTAGGTTGCAATGCGGAGTGACGGGATTTCTATGCCCTTTTCATATTGGTTTTAATTTTAGTTTATTACACAAAGCAGGGTTGCCAATTTGCAGTTCATGACCTTTCAGACTGAAGTATATGAAGTATGTAGAATTTCTGGTGGAAGGTATGTATAATATTCTACAGTACGGCATTAAGCATATCTATCTTCATTGTGTCGAGCAGGTAGCAGCCCCAAGCCAATTTACAAGTCAGATCTGTGGAGAGGCGAGCCCACCCGCAGTAACAGTGTATGATTTTCAAAGTATCTGGTCACCAGTACTTCAATAAGTGCATTATGAATAAGTTTAATGAAGATTCTGCACCTTTACTGAGAACATTTACACAGGGCAAGGAAAGTGAAATGTTTTGCCCAAAGACACAAAGGTAATCCCTGTTGCTGATAGCAGAGATCTGATTGTTTTGGGTGAGCTATATCAAGATCCACAATGTAAAATCTGTAAAATTATTGGTAGATTGCAATGCATAACACTTTGGTAACATAAAATGTATAAAATATTTGTTAAAATTTCTGAAAACACACAATTTTGCACAAAGATACTGACTACACAATCATATATGCAGGACAGGACTTTTAGGCCCATGTATTATTGATGTGTACTTCATTTTTAATTACAATGAGTTTATAAATGTTTTTCACAACTTTCAGAGGCCAGAGTGAACTGTTGCCATCACAGTAATGGTAAGAACAACTAGCATGCTAAACAGTTCACCAGCTTTTCTTTCTGGTTCATGATGGATAAAAGCAATAATGAAGACAAATAGCGCACAGTGGTCTCATTTTGCTTTTACAATATATCTGTACTGGGGCAAGACATAGGCTATATTACAGGAGTGTACTGATCCAATACCGGTATCTGATATCGGTGCTGATACTGAAAAATTAGCTAGTCGGACATCGGCTTTCAAATATCAGTTCAGTCAATATCCTAGTAGTTCGTATAAATTCATGTACACTGAAAAAAAAAAGTTGCTGGAAAAAAGTTACGGAAAGCGGTTGCACGCAATAAAATTATGTTTAGGCTTTGAAACTTTTTTCGAACCCCTCTACACATATTTTTCTCGGAACATGAACATCACTTTTTCATGTTGATGAAATTTGAACAAATCATGCTGAATATGCATATTTATCTTATGATACCTTATAATGAAATGTATAAGTATGTATAATTTAATTGATCTAATTCTGTAAAAGAATACAAAAACAGTTTTTAGTTTTCCACAGATCTGTATTGTCTTAAACAGAATCAAACACAAAGAGAGCACAGGGACAGAGATACACAGTTTGGAGCTGGACAGTGTGAAGATTTATTCCAGTGAAGAAGCTCTGGTCTCTGCCTGTGGACACAGAATCACACATGATGATCACATTTTAATGATCTACTCTGTTGTACATGTTTAAATACACTTAAAGTACTTATTACTACAATAATGGACCAGAACAGAAGAACAAGAACATTAGAAGTGTATCTGCAGAAACAAAACTCACCATGTGCTGCTTTTCTTCCTCTAAACACAGTAACAGGGAGGGCATCTGGTATAAAGTCTCCTAATGCCACATCACCTTGTACAAGTACGATAACAGTTTCAATAGGAAGTTCATTTGAAAAAAATTTTAATAATTTGGTTTACTTACTTTGTTCATCTGTGGTGTGTGTTTTGTTGGTTCTCAAACAATTTCCTTTTTTCTGAAACATCAACTATAACATTCATGAACTTCCCCACAGCTCCAGCAGAACTCTGGACGTCACTCTGTGTTTGTAGACGACTCTGGAAGCAACACTGTCACACTGTTGTAGATGGACAGTCAAAAACAATTTGTTTCATGGAAACAGTCTTACATTAACTCTAATTTCAAATAAAACACCACAAACATGTTTTAACAATGACGACATTCTAGTCCAGAGAAACATATAAAATCTTTAAAAAGTCTTACCTCCAGATCAGCTCTCATAAACCTCCTGCTCCACACTGTGTGTCCTCTGCTCCTGTATCTGTCCTGTGTCCTGCTACATTTGAATTTTCCCTCCAAAAGTTTTGGGGAGGAGAATTCCAGAGGGAGGAGCCTCACCAGAAATTATAATAAAGTCATGTTTCCTCAACCTGATTAAAACATGCAGGTCTCACATCGGCCACAATCAAGCGATGTTTGTAAGATTTAAACATGCTTGACAGAGAAACGTAAAAAAGTGATGTTATTGTTGTCAAATTTGTTTTTGCAATTTGAGCAACCCCTCTCGGACCGTTTTTTCAGTGTACCAAGTTTTTCAGACTATAAGGCGCACTTAAGAACCTTTAATTTTATCAAAAATTGACAGTGCGCCTTATAATCCAGAGCACCTTATGTATTAATTCTGGTTGTGCTTACTGACCTCAAACCAATTTTACATGGTACACGGCGCTCAAAAATCTGTCAAAATGTTTTAGTACAACTTTGGTAAGCTACGAAGCCAGATTGCCGGATCATTACAGCCACCGTAGTCAGGAGCCTCGCGGAGTAAAGCCCAATTTATGGTCCTTAGTCCAACAGAAGCCGACGGCATCAGCGCACAAGGAGCGAGCAGTTTTTTCAGCGCTTCTAGTTTATGCAAATTTGTTTCAGTAAAATGTAAACAAATGTGGCAAAGCTGCATTAAACACTTTATTACTTAATGTATATTTGAATCCTCCTCGTAGGAAATAAAAAAAGACAAACTTAAATTATCCCTCCACATTCACATTCATAATACACACTCACCAAGACAGGCGCATTATAGTCCAAAAAATACGGTAATAAGACTATTTACTGGCCCTGAAAGTCTTAAAATGTTTGAATTAAAAAAAATAACAAAGCTGTTCTGTAGTTACTTGAGAGCTAAATAAAAAGTTATATAACACATTGGATTGGTTTTGTCTTAGTTTGTTTCTGAATACAGAAAATAAATGCTGTCTCTGCACTTGTCTTGGTTTATATCAGTAATCATCAGATACTGTACATAATGCTAGGGCTGGGTATCATTAAGGAGTTGCCGATACGATACATACCTCGATACACAGGCCACGATACGATACATATCTCGATACAGTGCACTTTCGATTCGATATGATATATTTCAAATCGATTCGATACGGTTCAATAAAAAAATAAAGGCTAAATCATGGCCGTGATACGAAAAGGCTTTGTTACTTTGTTACTTCTTGTGCAAAGTTCATATGAAACACATTTTAATCCTTAAAACAGTAAAAATGTCAAATGTGTTGCATAAATGAGCTTCCTTTCACTCCACACCCAACAAAACTGTAGCACTATAACAAAACGATATATCGATATTCCGATATTTTTGCACACCCCTACATAATGCTGTAGTATCGAAATCGGTATTGGAACTGAAAAAGCTTGAAAAATAAAATCACAAAACCACTTTTCACCACCAACATTTTTGCGCCATTACAAATCACTCTGGTACACGCATCTTTTACCTTTCAGCGTTTAAACTGCGTTGTATCCGATGACCCCTCTGGCCTGATCCACGACTTCTCCCGCACCAGATAACCCCTCCACTGCTGATTTCACTCCGATTGGAAGCCACCATTCTCTCGCCGACATTACTTACCGTGAAGAGGAACGCGCTGGCACTACTCAGGAGAAGACGAACGAGATAGCGCGAGGAGAGCAGAGGAGATGGGTGAGTGGATGGATCGCAGATTGGCTCAGATTGGTCGGCGGAGGAGAGCAGATAGAGATGGTACGTCGGCTGGTGAAAAAGTCAACTTGTGGAGGAACAGGGCTTGAGGAAACTGAAGGTGAAGTGTGAGGATTGGATGTTTGGCCTTAAGCACACAATTAGGGCGAAGAGGGTTGGTGTGGGTATAATAGTCAGTGGTAGACTTGACCTAAATTACACGGGTGGTTGATAACAGGTTGGTTCTTGGATCATTTTGGTCTTTTTTGCGTGGAGTTTGAATATTTTCACATGTCAGCTTGAAGCATGTGGAGTCTATGTGTTTGGCAGCTTTGAAAAAATAGTATTTCATTGTGATTTTTGCCAATTTTCAGGTCATTAACTTATTCTCAGTTGAAAATCTGTCTTAACTTTTTAATTTTTAGCTTTGGCTCTAGCTATTCTCACTATGACTGCTAAAAAAAACACTTTATAATTAGATCCTGACAAGATACAGAGGTCAAATTTTTACCTAAAAACTGCTTTCATAATATATCTGCACTGGGACAAGTTGCATTTTATTACTGTATTAGCTAAAAAACAGGTAATTCACAAAACTACTTTTCACCAACAACTCTCAAATCACTCCAGTACAGACATCTTTTACCTTCCAGTTTTTAAACAGCTTTCGAAAAAGTTGTATTTTGTGGTAATTTTTTGCCTTTTTCGTATTATAAACATTTTCTCAATTGAAAATCTTTCCTTTCCTTGACGTAGGCTTTGGCTCTAGCTACTCTCTGATTGGTTAGAGTGGTCACGTGGTAGTAGAGGTGCAAGTAGAGCACTACAGTCACTACATGTACCTGGTTGGACAGGATAAATTAACGACACACGCCATTCACTGACATAATGAGCCAATGTTCAAGCCCCGTGGTTTGACCTGTTCTGAGGAGAAAGACCAAATTACAGACTGAATAACTCAGACAGAATGTGTATCCATGTACTTCAGATAGATACTCTTGACCTGAGATCGAGCTCCAGATCTGGAGATGGGTGTCTGGTGAAAGAGAAAGGCGAACTCATCAAATTATGGGTCAAATACATGAGACACTGTGCTAAGACTTGACATTTGAAAGCCTGATTCAGTGGTTTGGCCCAATAAAGACCTCTGTACTGACATATGGGTAATTAGCACAGTGAACAAGTGACAAGGTCATTACACAGTTGTGTCACTGCAAATGCCATTGGGACTTCATTGATTGACTTGCTTGTACTGATCTTAATTTGAGTAACTTTTAACTAATTAAAGAAATAAATCTCAATGGAATGAGTCATATTTTTTCTTCAAGATTAAATCTTTAACTAAAGCAGTTTCATGGGGCTTTCACACACCACATGTGAACCTGGAACTAAACCTGTAATAGAACATGACTAAAACAAGACCAAACCAAGTCTATATCAGGACTAAACCGGGCTCAAACTTAGTTAAAAGAGACATTTTATGGTTGTTAGTACTGTACTAGTGTGGTACTGAGTATTATAGTACAACATAAGCAGATACAGTTTCACATTTTCTTCACTGTTAAACATGATATTGATATAAAATGGCTTAGTGAGATTGACAGGTGGATCGGTGCAGTGTCTGCAGTGATGTGGTCGCTGTATCGGACCGTTGTGGCGAAGAGGGAGCTGAGCCGAAGGGTTCTTGATTTACCGTCAATCTATGTTCCTCCCCTCACATATGGTCATGAGCTTTGGGTAATGACCGAAAGGACAAGATTGCAGATACAAGCGCTCGAAATGAGTTTCTCTTCAGAGTGGCTGGGCACTCCCTTAGAGACAGGGCGAGGAGCTCAGTCACACGGGAGGAGCTCAGAGTAGAGCTGCTGCTTCTCCGCATTGAGGAGCAGCTGAGGTGGCTCGGGCATCTGGGGCCTCATTTATAAAAACTGCGCAGGAGTTGTCGTAAGTTAGTGCGTACACCTAGTAGCTACGACAAGGCGTGCGCCACGCAAACTCCATATTTAGAAAACCCACCGCACGCACCAAACCACGCAATCTTTGCTTTATAGATCCCACCTGCAACTACAATTTGCGCACGTAAACCTACGTCACGTCACGCACCCTCTCCACACCTCCACCTCACCATAAAAGGAGCATGTAAAGTGACTCGTGAATGAGATTTCCCTAAACATGAGCCGATAATCAGTGGGTTTGACCGAGACACGCGGGACAGAGGGAGGAGGACGCTCCACGCAGCACCACGTGATCACCACAAAGACTTTATTAAAGACTTTATTAAACCTTGTTTAATAAATAAATACAAAACTAAAAGTGACAACAATGACTCATCTTTTCATTTAATCATATTTTATAATATTTAGGCAGCACATCTTTGCAGTAAATCTCATGTGTTTTTTCACTGTTTCAAGAGTTTTATCTCTATATTTTTAAGTCTGTCTATGAAGTGTGTGAGGACTGGCCCTGTATTTATGCACATACACGTAGATACGTGCACGCGCTGATCTGAATGGTCAAATTATGAGCGCGTGCGAGAGATTCAGATGCCCTCCCCTGTAGAGGGAAAGGAGCGAGGGAAGGACACGAGTATACGAGGACACAGATTTAGCATGAAACACATCAGATACAGATGTTATTCTGCCAATTAAAGTCCACACGAAACATCCAAACTGCTGAACCTGTGAGTGTGGGTCTGGGTCTGTGAGTGTGGGTCTGTGAGTGTGGGTCTGTGAGTGTGGGTCTGGGTCGGGACGGGCACGGGCATTATTCTGTTCTTCATATTGTCAGAGAGCAGCTCTCATGTACAAGAGTTCTCCATTACACAAAAATGTAGGGAAGATTTTGGTTGGGGTCAGGTTCGGGCAGTGGGCTTCGTGTTGTCCGCAGACTCGGGTCATAGACTCGG